GCATGGCATGGCAGACCAGTTTGTGGGGGTCCATGAAAGAACAGAAAGAGAGAAACTGGAGGGATGTTGAGGTATTTGCTGTGGAAGAGAACAGAAAAATGCAGCAGTAGCTGAAGGAGATATGAAACCAAATGAATCTGTTTTTTAATTAGACAAAGCACAAATTGTGTACTGATAAAAATAATCCATTGATTGGTCATTGATCTTGGGCACAAGCGAAGCAGCCACCCTTAGCAGGAGCATGGACAGTCCACCCACCCACCAAAACAGGAGAGAAGGCAAAGTATTGAGATGTGGATGGTGGGTTGTTGGGGTGGTAGGAGCTGTGGAAATTTTATTCAGATTGCTTCTGTGTTAGGAAAACTGAAAGAGTAAGGATGGGAGAGGTTCTGGAGGCCAGAATAAAGAAGGGGAGATGTGAAAACTAGTGATCTAGGAAAGTGTGCCTGTTATCCAGAAGGGTTACCTAGGAAGGGGTAAATGTTCCAGGGACCTTCAGATATGCCTTTGCAGTAACCTGATTGGCATGGCTATGTGCTTGTAGCTGCACCTCGCTGAGTGCATTTAGGGTGGAGCTGAGAGTTATAAAAGGCAATGATTATAACAACTCATCAAAGAATTGAATGCAGGTAAGAAGAAAAGTGAGAATGTGACATAGGATGAAAAGAGCTGCCAGGAGCTAGCTGTGAAGATTTGGAGGTGGTGAAGTGGGATTGGGATTATAGTGAGGAGGTGATACAACAAAGTTTTGGGAGGCCCATAGGAGCTAAGCAGCTGTTAAGGGAAGATGACATGAAAATTGGAAGAGGAGAAGTCAAGGAATCATGAGGCCTGGCCATTGGAAGATCAACTTGGATATTGAAATAAGGAGTTGCTTCAGAGGGTGGCAGTGAGTTGAAGATAAAAGTCTTCTAAAAATGAGGGGGAAGGACCCAGGGATGCATAAATAGCTGCACTGTGGACAAGTAGAACAAGGTATAGTGTGAAAAGACTAAAAACTGGGAGCTGGGGTAGGCATGAAGGGGAGAAATAGTCTGGAAGTAACGAGGAGAAAGAAGGACATCCACCACAGAGGCGGTGGCAGACCTGTGAGCAGCTATGCACTGGAGGGTTGCAGGGAGCGGTATCCTTGGAGAGCAGAGTTTCTGTTAAATGGAGAAGATGAAGGGAGTATTTACAGATGAGAGAGAAAATAGAAGAAATTTGCTTAGGGCGATCAAGTTTAGCAATACCAAACATCAAAACATGATGTCCAAGTCATGCTGACAACTACAGAGTTACCTATAAATCATTGTACTTTCTGAGACAAAATACACTTAATATCTAAATCTGTGACAAAGTCACAACTCTTATTTTCTAACTCTAATATTCTGTAGGTACATCTCCATATTTAGGCTGGTATCTGCTGATAAAGACCTGTGAACCGTGGCAGAGGAAGGTGACCCAGACGAGGCAGAGGAGACGCTGGGGGAGTGGCAGAGACCCCAGCTGAGAATGACTCTCATGGATTGGTTGGGTGGGGGATGGGAGGAGAACACGATTGACGATCATGCCAGTAAGCTGGACAGAGAAAGAAGATCAGAAGACATAAAAGTTTCAGCAAAATACAAGTAGAGATGCTTATAGGCCAACAAGGTGGGCTGTCCAGGAGCCATTAGAAAAAGGAGTTCAGTCCTCAGGAGAGATGTGAGGCTGGAGAGATTTTGGAGTCATCATATAGGTATACAGGTGAGTGGAGTGAAACTTCTCAGAAGAATGCAGAGCAGCCCTCCCAGTCTTGGGTCCCAGAGCTGATGTAGTAAGCAGCTCACCTGGCAGTGGCCAGTCCATGATAGCTGCTAATATTAGGGATGCCATGCTGAGCTATGGTGGATCCGAAGGTAAAGGATCAGTAATACTGACCCTGTCTGTAATGTTTAATAGTGTCTCCCAAAAATTCACATCTACCCAGAGCCACAGAAAGTGACCTTATTTGAAAATAAGGTCTTTGCAGATATATTTAAGTTAAGATGAGATCATGCCGGAGTAGATCTTAAATGTTCTCAACACATAAAAGAAATGGTAATTATGTGATAGGATGGAGGTGTTAGCTAATGCTATGGTGGTAATCATTTTGCATTCTATAAATGTATCAAATCAGTGCATTGTACACCTTAAATTCATACAATATTATTTGTCAATTATGTCTCAGTAAAGCTGGGAAAAAAGATCTACTCTCTAAGCAACTTCCAAGTATATCAAAACAATATTGTTAATTACAGTCACCACGCTGTACATTAGATCAGAGAACTAAATCCCCCTATAACTGTAACTTTGTACCCTTTGACCACTATCTCTTCAATTCCCCCATCACTGGAGCCCCTGGCAATCACCATTCTGTCTGTTTCTATGAGTGGCTTTTTAAGATTCCACATGTAAGTGAGATCATACAGTACTTGTCTTTCTCTGACTTGTTTCATTCAGCATAATGCCTTCAAAGTTCCAATTACTTTTAAATTATGGAATTCAGGGCAATGCATTTTCTCAACATAGGGAACTAAAACATAAACCAAACTTCAGTAACTTCAGTAGCATCTTCAAATGCCTTTAGCAAAATACAAAAATATGTTTCCCATCAATTTCAGCAAGTTACTTTTGATATAGCAGAATAAGACAAATACCATGGAGATAAGTTGGTAATAAAGCATACTTCAATCAGTTGGTATTAGTATATTTTAGTGAATTCTATTACTCATTTTAAATTAGATAGTAATTCCTTATTACTAGACATATTCACTCAAAGTCTAGGGAATTGGAAATAGCTGCAGAAGCTCTCCTCCTTGGAGGTTTGTAACTTTAGGGAAATGACTTTCTGTGCTTTCGGTTCCCCAGGAAGAGCACCAGAGTAACAACATGCACTGGCCGAATTGGTAACCGGGCGCCACTGTTAGATAGAAAGATAGACAGGCGCAGCCAGGGGAAGGGGAAGATAAAGTTCAAGGAAAAGTTGTCCAAACTGCCCAGGTAGGGGGTCCCACATGAAGACAACAAAGGCTTTACAGGGAAATAATTTCTTTGCCCATCAGGACCAGATCAAACTGGTCCCAACCTGATTCCAGCGTGGGCGCAATCCAACAAAACGAAGGACTGCCCAAAACACACCTCATCATGGGAAAGGCCATGTGCACTGAGAGGGATGGCTATACAGGTGGACCTGTCAATCAAATAACCCACCTTGTCAGTCAAAGAGGCGCGTCCTAGCCAGAATGCAATATATAGGCCTCCTGCTTAATCCGTGGAGGCCTTTGTCTACCTTGACTCTGACCCACTCCTCCCTTGGAGTGTATTCAAGTAAAACTTTCACTGTGCTTTGCTACTGTGTCTCTGCCTTTCAATTCTTTGCTGCGGTGGGGACAAGGACCGAGAATGAACTCAACCCGTAACACCACAATGTTGAGAAGCCAGGTAGTCTGAAAACACTGTTATTTTATTATTTCACATATAGAACACCTGTTACTACTGCTTCTGGGGCAACCAAAGCTACAGGTTTATCCCATGAAAGATTCAAATAATATGAATGCACCACAGAGACATGTGCAGAAATTGATTGGAAATTATGTTTTCTTGAGTTTTTTAGGACCTACAGTAATGTGTTGTTTGAATTGAGTTTTTCATCATTTGGAGCACCTGTTTATGCTCCTGCTTCTGAATCTGAACAGTTCAACACACGCTCCCTCCTCTCTTCTACCTCTCCCTCTTTTCTTTACTATTCTTACACACACACACACACACACACACACACACACACTCCTTTCTTTCACTGAGCAGCTATGAAGAAAGTAGAAGGGAAGGAGAGGAACTTAATATCTATCTTGCCATATACAAACTTAACACTCCACCCCCTCAAAAAAAACCCTTAATAAAAGAAGGTAAACGTTTTCAATTCTTCTATTTCTTTTCATGGCCATTTAAAGGAGAGGCATCCCAACGAGAAGAAAGGCTGGCTCAAGTATCAAGAAAACAGACAGTTAAAGAAACAGAAAAAGCAAAATGTGGGTAGGCAGACAAGAACTCCGGAAGGAAACCAAAATCATGGAGAGGGGGAAAAGGTGAGTGATGGAAGGAGGCAAGAAAAGAGGCACTAAAGCTCCAGGCCCAAAGGGTTCTAAGAGAGCTTTATGCAGGCTGTCCCAAAGTCCATTCCTCTTGGGCAAGTCCCAGAAGTCTTTGGCTCTATTTCATTATCTGTAACATGTAGACAAGCCTTTGCCCCTTATAAGTTTAAATTCTTACTTTATTTCTAAGATACATTTTAATTTGGCTTCAAAGAGAACAGAACAATGAACCACTCCTCAAAGCCCTTTAATTGCTTTTTATACGTAGCCTTTCCAGATGCCACTCCTGGATAACCAAAGGGAAACTAAACTTAATTAAAATCACTTTAATTTCATCAATCTAGGTACGACTGCTTTTCCCAGCTTCCATGTACAAAGTGGTCGCTTTATGGATGTCACTCTTTCAATTTACACATGGAAAACACATAAAAACGACAAGCAAATGCTTCCAAATAAACACAAGAAAGACATTTTTCAGTTTACTTTTAACACAACTCCCAGCTTGGAAAGAGATGAATTGGGGTGAGAAGTCTTTCCACCCTTATTAGGAAATGGGCACAGTTTAAAGATTTAATTTGAAGTTTTAGGAAATTACAAAACAAGTTTCCTTTACAACAGAGTGAACGGCCGAGAAGCTGGCGACCTCCCCGTCCGGGCCACCCGTCCTGCCCTGCCCTCTGCATCAGGGAAGGACTAAGTGGGAGGATCCTGCGCGTGACGTCACAAGAAGCAGGCGCCGCGGGGGCGAAGGGAGGGTACAGCTCAGGTCAGCGCCGCCCTGGGGCGGAAAGCCGGGAACTGAGAAGGCCGACAAGTTAGATCCGGCAGTTGGCGGAGGGAGCCGCTCGGCCGCAGCCACGGAAAGGAAGGGCGCGGCGCGCGTGCGCGAGGTGGCCCTAGACTTACGGTCCCTTGGTCCGGTGAGCGGCACTTCCTGTTGGCCTCTGCGGCCTGGCAGGCTCGAGGCTTCCTAGAAATGACGAAGTGGGCGCGCTCCGCCCTCTCGACCGTTGTGAAATCTTTTCGCCCTCCCGATCCCAGGGCAGCCCAGCCAGGTCTTTCCCGTGTTCAGTGGCAGAGCTAATAGCGACTGTTCCAGGGCTGAGTACCGTCGGGCTCGGTGAGGACAGCCGGACCCGGATGGGCGGTTGGATACACTCAGGTCACGGGTCTGACGGTGCGAGTTCGTTGAAAGAGGAAACGGACTTGCCAACTGACCGGCCCCCTTCGGGCCGTCCTCCTGCGGTACAACCCTCGGGAAACACTCCTGTCCTCTAGATCTGAGATCGCGCTTGAACAACTGGGGGAGCGAGTTATCACCTGATTTCTCTCCTAAAAAGTGTAAATGCCATAATAATGCCTTGTTTAAGTTCGCTTATCCCAAAGCAGGCAAAATGTTATGAGGTTCCTTATTGAGAAGGGGAACAAAGGGCAAAGGATCGCGTGGCTTTCGCCTAAAACAAAACAACAAAAAACAGTTCGTGAAACTATTGAGGAAGTAGACTGGCGCTTTTCCAGTTTGTGTCATCCCTTGCAGCCACCTTTTTCTCCCTGAATTCCCTCAGCCCAGGAAAGAGACCAGGTTGGGATTTCGGCGTCTACAGTCCCAAAACTCCTAAAGTTGATATATCATGGTAAGAAATCATTACCCAAACAATGCCTAAAACGCACCTCCAGATCCAACTTTTGTTTGAAGTTGAGATACACATATTAGGATTGAATGGAAGGCAGTGAATGACTGTAAAACCATTCCCTTATTTCTCTATTCTGAAAATTAGGTAGACACTACATAACTCTTAAATCTCAAAGTAAAACAGTAATCCAGCCAATACCTCCCACTGATGCCTACTTCCCACTTCAAGGAGTAACTGAATCTGAGAGTCCAGTGATACTATGAAACACTCTGTACACTATGAAGCAATTATGTATCAACTACAGGTACTCTCTGGCCAGAGGATTTACATATGTTTGAATTGTTTACTGATTTGTAAATAGACAAATCTTGTGCAGGGTAGTTTTAAGGTGTGGCGTATGAGCAATATCCGGTTCTGTAATGTATGTGACAATCACCATGAGGAAACAATTCCGAGTCAAAACTAGACTAGGTCTCGGGTGAGTTTAATGTCACAATGTACATAATTTGAATCAATCCAAATAAAATTTCCTGTAAAGCACTTCATGGTAGGTGTGGAAAAAGTTTGTTCTCTTAGTTGCATAGTAAAGTATCATAACTTATTTTCACTGTAATAACAAATGGTACACTTATCCTGGAGAACCAGCATTACAATAGATCCTTCGGATGCTGTCATGGAAAGAACACTGGAGCAGGCATCAGAAAAAACGGAACAGTAATCTCACTTATGCCACTCGATCTAAAATCTTGTGAAAACAATTTCGTATCTCTGAACTTCCCTTTCCTCATTTAATGTGATCTTTGTCACTCGCCCAAATTCTCCTGTGGCATTTTGCCCTTTTAACATCTGATGTACTCTGCTGGTAAGTCCACCACTTTGGTTTTAACACCTGGCATAACACAGTGTACTCATTAGGAGTTTGCTGAAAGTGTCATATCGGGCCATTTTTTCTTCTTTGAAACAATGTATGTAAGATCTGCTATTAAGAATGCTACTTATTGTCAAAGAATCACAGGTTACTTACTACAAAGATCATAAGTTACCTATTACAAAGGTATAAAGGTACCTTCACAGTGGATAAATCTGGTGGATACCACTTTAACCAAATGATCAAAACTAACCCAAAATTAGACAACTGGACATCATGTGCCCCTAGTTGTGAAGCTTGGAGAAGGATACATCATCATCTATGGAGTATCCCTGGAAAAACAGTTAACTTCAATCTAATTATAATTTAATCACAACGAGGCAAATCCAAATTGAGTTGGCTTGGATTTATGAGAAACATCTTAAAAGACAAAAACCCTTGGATACTGTTCTAGATTGAAGAGACAACTATACGCAGGGAACTTGAGATGAGCCTTGTTTTTGTTTTGTAATGTTCAAATGGCTAATGGATTCCTCAGATTCCCAGAGTTGCTTCTTGTTCTTACTGAGAAAATTTAATGTATAGAGACCTTCAGAAAAGCTAATTCTTATTATTACTGAGTTTCTTCAGTGAAAGTCTGTTTGTGTTGAACGCTTATTGGAAATAACACTACTAAATGGGGTCAATTACTTCATTGCTCAAAATAAAATTGTAACTCCCAATCCTTAAAAGGAAAATGGAATTATTTTTTTAAATGTCATTTTTAAGAACTTCTAGGTCCTTTCTATTTTTAATAGCCTAGCCCTAGCCAGAGGGAAAGAAACAAGGAATAACAAAAATGTTATTAGAAAATGTTGCTAGAAAAGATTGAAAAAGTAAATATTGTTAATATTAGAGTTCTGATTTATAGTTTCTGATTTTCTTGTTGAGGTAATCACTGCTGTTAAATAACAAAAATTCAACTGAGTGCATTTTAAAGATCTAATTGGCTTTACCAAATGACTCATAATTGGGCAGCATCCCATCTCACAAACAAAAATGAACTCTAAAGTACTACAGAAAAGGAAAGGTTTTTAAAGGCAGAGACGGGGTGGGACAAGGAAGTCATAAATGAAAGAAAGGATTATTCGGGGTAAGGTAACCTTTGTTTGGGGCACATAACCTTTGTTTGGAGCACAAGTAGGATCTATTAGGTGGATTACCTCATTAGTGCTGACCAGAAATTCTATATGGCCAGTTCAGTTTACATTCCTGGAGAAGATTAAAACTGCATTTAGGTTAGGTATTAGTTTTGGATTGATGACGTGGGTTTAGTACAAGTGACTCCATTTGGGATTGTTTCCTTTTTTAATACTGCTTTACAATGTCCAGAGTACCTGTAAGACTCCAAATACAAGGGCCTGTTCCCCAGCCCTTCACATTCTAGCCCCTGCCCACCTCTGCAGCCTCTTTTGTCCCTAATATACACACACACATAAATATTCTAACACACCATAATATTCCTTGAGTTAGGTCTTTCAATTAAAATGGGCTTAATATTAACGGAAGTTATTTGTTCATGTAACTGAAAATTCCAGGGATAGAATATAAGGTATGTCTACATACAGGGGCACAAATGAGGTTTTTGGATTGAGTTTCTATCTCTGGTCTGTGCTCTTTTTCTGCAGGCTCCATTCTCAAGCTTGTTCTCTCCTCCAGTATTAAGATGGCAGTTTGTAGCTCTGGGCTTACACCCTCCTCTCAGCAAACCCAGCAGGAACAAACATTTCTCTCCTCTCTCCAGCCAGGGTTACACCAGAAGTCCTGGACTTGACTGTAGGATGGGAAGTGCTGATAAGTTGGTGAGCTGGGGCAGAGGTCAGCCCCACCCAAACTACCTACCCTGAGAATAAAGAAGTTATGGGTCCCCAAGGGAAAAATGGTAGAAGGGAGACTGGATGCTGGGCAGGCTGAAACAACAGATGTATTCCTCAGCACACCCAGCAATCTCATACCTCCCTCCCCTGGCTCATGTTTTCCCTCTGCCTAAAATGCTCCTCCACAGTTAACCTTCTGACAAATGCCTATATAGCCTATAAAACCAAGATCACCTCTTTTTTTTTTGCCACTTTCTTTGCTTGTCTATAAAATGACCCCATCCTTATAACCTATTTCCATAAATAAATCAGAAGTTTTTTTCAAAACAATTTAATTGCAATTATACAAGTAATATGTATTCACTATTTTTTGAAAATTCAGAGAGTAATACCACTGAAAGAGTGGCCCATGGACTGGTACCAAAATCTCAACTGTTTGTTACTGGTCCTCAATGAGCTAAGTACAGAAATTAAGAGTAAATGTCTAGACACTATTACAGCAGCTTCATGTCTGTTGAACCTAATAAGTTAGACTTGCATTTTCAATGTCTTTTAGAATTTCATTTTATTAGTAATTCATCATATATATGCAGTTAATTTCATATAAAAAGGGTCATAGTATACATATTATGCTGAAACTTCCTTTTGCTCACTTACTATCTCAGTGATCCAGCTTTTTTTCCAAAAGCATTAGTCAAAATGATCACATTTGCATATCTGTGTATCATCTACAAACTCCTTAAAGGCAAAATCTGTTTTATTCATTACCCTGATGTGTGGTATAGAGCCTGATATTTAGTTGTCAATAAATAAGAGCTTAAAAATGAATAAAAACAAACTTCATAGCTAGCAAACCTAGTCTCTGCAGCCAGAGCAACAGGCATTATTGGTGTCTTGCCAATGGGTTTCAGCCCTGGGCAAGTTCACAGTGGAACATTCTCGGGGTGACAGGGTTTATACCCAACTTTATTCCCATGGTGGCAAGTCAAGCACAATAATCCTGTCCACCTCAGAGCAAGTCTGCATGCAGCAAGCCAGTCTCTGCCTCTGACTCTCTTCCCCCACAGCTGTCTCAGTCTGTCCTTCACCCTGCCACCACCCCAGCCTCCACTCTCCTGCAGCCATGCAGCCCAGAGCACTGGGTGGGGCTCTTTATTTGAGTCAATAATAAGGCATTGCCCACACGTGTGTAGTGAGGGAGCCAACCAGGGTTAGGTGAGAATCCTGGCCATAGGAACTTCCATTTTCTCCACCATCAGGTAAATAATTTGCATTTCCAACCACTGGAAGATGAATTAATGTATAACCATCTCACTTGACAACAGTATTTTCTGGTAGGTATAATTTCTATTTTATTGGTGAGAAAACTGAGCTTAACTACCTACATAATTTAAGAAAATTAAGTTATTTGCCTAAAGTTGAATAGCTATTAAGTGACAGGATTTTTTATTCCTCTGTAAGTTATCACCAGAGCCTCCAACTACACTTAACTGCTGGGCTCTATTTCCCCCATACTGAGCTTAAAGATACAAATCATTTAATGTGCCTTAAAGCCTTGATGCTTAGTATAGCCTTGGACTAGCAGTTTCAGCATCACCTGGGAGTTTTTTTAAGAAACAGAACTCAGGCTCCACCCAGGTGATTTGTATGCATCTTAAAGTTTGAGAAGCATTTCTTAATATCAGGAAATGACTAATCTCACTGCATTGGTTTTCTGTAACTGCTATTAAAATTACAATAAACTTAGTGGTTTAAAGCAATGCAAATTTATTATCTTATTGTCTCTAGGTCAGAGGTCCTAAATTAGTTTCAATAGGCTAAACTCCAGGTGAGAGCAGGGGCACATTCCCTTAATATGGTCTGTTTGGAGGGCATGCCAACAAGCTCTTCTTACTCTTGAATTTCTGACTAAAACCAAGACTAGCTGGGCAATTTCTGACACTGAATACCATCAAGAATGATCCCATCCAAGGACTGGCTTGATTGGATTATTTGCAGTCAGCAAATATTTATTGAGTAGCTCCTATATGCAGCCTCTTCTTTGGACTTTGGTTCCTTGGGTGAGAGGGAAGAGATTGGACTAGATATTAACTTTAATCTAGTTCTAAAAGCAAGCATGTTGGCTTTACATTTCAGTTTATCAAACTGGCACTCTTCTTAACTAAGTCACATATGACCAATTTCTTGGTACTCTTCCAAAAACTGTCTCAGAACTTATGTCCACAATCAGCCCCCAAACTACTACATCCTAGGCATTCTGTGAGCTCCTGTTGTCCCCACAACTCTGGTTATAAAAATTTCATCAGGTCTCTGCAGCCCATGCCTACATAGAACAGAGCTGTGAACTACCTAAGTAGCCCACTGACAGGGCAGAAAAAAGGGCAGAAAAGGAAACATGGCTAATCTGCTACAAAGTCCGCAAAGAAAACAGGGTAAGTGGAGACCTGTAGCTCTACTGGGGAGAGAGGGCTGTGGTGGTAGGACAGACACACTTGAGGATGGAAAGGAAAAGGCAAAACCAGGCTGCCTATACAAGGCACTAGGAGAAAAACATGCAATTCACTCCACAAATTCTGATAAGGTATCTACTCCATATATATAATATCTACCAGGTTTTGTGAAGAACACCAAATAAATGCAAAAATAGTCCTATTTTTTAAGGAGTCAAGACACACACCATTAAGTAATCAAGCAACAATGCATAATAGTACAGAATCGTGTCAAAATGTGTACCAGTGGTCATAAATTGTAGGAGGGAATCCAAAAAAGGGGAAAATTAATGACAGCCAAATCTGGTGGGGAAGGCTTCTAACAAGAGGTAGACCATCTGGATCTAAAAAAGTTGGTAGAATTTGATTAGCAGAGAGGGGTAGTAAAGATGTTGCAGGCCTGAGAAATAGGGAAAGTGTAAATAGTATGCTAGTGAGGAGACAAGTCCAGCTGGTCTTAGGTTCAGGAAGACAGAAGGGAATAAGGTGAGGGGGTAATTCAATAAGGAAATGAGTGGTAAGAGTAAATTGAGATCGTGGAAAGCTTCAACTGCCAAAAGATGTTCAATTTCTATCCTTTATCTCCAAAGTTTTTGAGGAAATGGGGTAAGGAAACTGATATTTCAAGAATAATTTAGAGATTTCCCAGCATGAATGAGGGATAGGAGAGAAGTGGAGGCAGGAAGACCATTTAGAAAGATACTATAATAGTCTAAGTATGAGGAAACAGCAGATACAGTAGAACAGACAGATTCAAGAATAATTTCCTCCCTTAAAGGAAGGAACAACAGGACTTACTGACTTGAAACAGAAGAAAGAAAAGCCAAAAATTAGTCTGAGGTTCAAGATGTCTGGATGATCAGAGTCAAAGAATTTTAGACCTGCAAGTGGTCCAAGTCAGACTCCATCACTTTAAGGAATGAGAAAACTGTGGTTGCTTAGTTTCAGAACTAGTTCTCAGCAGAGCCAGCAGAAGAATGCCCAGACCAGTGCTATTATGAGATTTAACTAGCATTATATGCCTAAGTGTTAATTACATGCAAACCATGTTTGGAATGACCATTTCTAATGATGAGAGCAACCAGAGCAGTATGTGTGTCATATCACTGCAATGGGACTAAATGAAAAACAGTCATGTAACTATATGAATAGTTCATGTGTAAAGTCACTCTATGATGTCTGCTGCAAAAAGAAATTTCATTAGCAACTTCTTAAGGTTATAAATTAATCTCTGATGACATTAACCATGAGGACTTCTCCCTCCTCTACCTGGTTTTCCCACTTCCTGGTCACCTTAACCTTTGTCTTTGTGTGTACCATTTCCTTCATTAAGAGTGTAGCTCCTTTAGGTGGGAACTTACACTTCATTTGCCCTTAGCCTAAATTATAGTGTTGCATTATTAAAATGTGGTGATCTGCTGATGAATAATTAATTGCTGAAATTAATGAAATGATACCAATTGTGATTTTAGGATTAAAGAACCTTAAAGTTTAAATAATAATGAAAAAATATGCCCCTTGGAAAGACTTTGTCCTTAAAGACTAATGGAATAAACTGTTGAAATCATCAGGAATATGACTCTTTGGTAGCCCCAGAAATACCTCTGACAATTCCATTTGTCTCCTTGGTTATCATCTGAAGCCTGCTGGTTTGAAATACTAAAAATGCAACATCACTCTAGTTATCATTGATTTCCTTTTAGACGGGGTGAACTCAGGATTTACTAGAAGGACCTTTTGGTTGAGGAAGAATATATAAAATATATTACAGACTTAGGACTCCACATTTTTTCTTCAAGCCACAAAAAACTCAAGTCATTTACCTTCTTAATGGAACAGTCTCACTTGCCTGAACTCATTTGTATTAGTGCTTTTTATACAATTGAAACACATGCTTTGTCCTTACAGATTCTGGATCCTTTATAAATTCTGAATAGGTCTTAGTCTTTCTACACTTTAATGTTGGTTTTTGGAAGTAGGTATGTGGAAAAACAACTTTCTTCAAAATGACTTAGAAGTTTTTTGACAACTTTTCTAAACCATGCTTTTTCTGGAATTTGACTCTGAAAAGAATAGTCATTTTTTTTTAACCTTGTCCGTAGACAATCTTCTGGAGTAGGGCCACTAGACCCATTGCTTTCCATCCTTTGAATTAGTCATGGATTTTTAAAAAAAGAAATTAAAAAATATCAGTTTGATGAGTTAGTACTAAGCAAATAAACAGCTGGCTCACCTCCTCAACCACATTTGTTGAATCTGAAGGGAGGAACAGTGAAAATAGTTATTACTTCTTGGATATAATCTGAGGTTCAGTCAGACAGGAGTGGTAAATAGGCACAAATCTATGGAAGAGTGGTGGTTCTGATCTTCTGGAAATGATTACCAGGTCACAGGAGGTAGGGAGCAGGGAGGTCCACTGAGAAAAGATATGAAGAGTAGAGCAAGTAACCCCTGCTCCTCCCAGAACTTCTTTGTATGCTTGTGAACTTTTTTGGATTAATCACGGACTTGGAGAATAAATATATATTATGATGTATATCAAGACATCACCAAGTCAACTTTTTGGAGAGGCATGATGGAAGACCCTATAAAGAGAAAAACAATTTGCATTAATAGTCCTAAAAATAAGTTAAACTGTATTACTCTCAGGTCATTATAAACATAGGTGATTTCACTGAAGCATATAACAAATTAATTTTATTAAATAATTGAAGACTTGCAAGAAGTTGCAAAAATAGTAGAGTTCCTGTGCACCATTCACCCAGCTTTCCCTACCCTACATAACCATAGATTAAAAGAACCAGGGAAATAGCATATTATCAATCAGTTTTTAAAGATTATAGGTTGTTATAGTATTTTAAGACCCTCCTGATCATTGGCAAGGGAGGTTGCCCTGGAAGCAGCCTAGTCAGAAAAGTAGAGAGGTGACACACAGAGAGGTTAAGTGCTTTAACCAGCACCAGGTTTACACGTTCTTGGGTGAATAATATTTCTCAGCTGGGGCTGAACATTGCAATCACTGGAAGATGGGCAAAATCCAACCAATCTGGGTCACCCCAAATCAATTATATCAGTTTCTGCAGGTAAGACCCAGGCATCAGGATGTTTTAAAAGCTCCTCAGAGGATTCCAATGTACAGCTAGGGTTCAGAACTACTGATGTAAGGTTTTACTAAGTAAGGTTGATAATGCTTTTTTTGTTTTAATGAGGTTTTTAAATATGTTTTGCTTTAATGACAATCATTGACAAATACTGAAATGTATTTAAATTCCCTCTGCTCTACAGGTGCACATTTCAATACAGTTCTCATAATTAAACAAATTAAACCTTAAAACTGAGCTATGTAATAAAAAGGTAATGGGACTTCTCATCTGGGGATAACTCTCAGGGGGTCAAGTGTGGGATAAAACAGATGGTTAGAGTAAATCAAGATTTATTCCCTTTCCCTCCAACTCTAGACTCCAGTAATTTAAATCATTATCATTGTTTTTACTTTAAATGTGAGGAAATTCTGGGAATTGCTAGTTAGTATCACTGAGGGAAAAAATCTAAATGAGATTGTTCTCTCTGATTCTACCTGAGATGACTACGTATGAATACAGAGTCCCGGGCCTAATCAACTTCCCTCTGTAAAATTCTGGCCCTATTTTTGCAAACGAGGGATTTTCCAGATTACTGAAAGTTGGCTGTGGCGCTGTCACTGGCTCTGGTCTGAGTTTGAGAAAGCAGCCAGACTCCCAGTCATAAGCCTTTGCCCTCCTTCGATACTCCGGTGAACCACACGCTCATCGGACAGCGTTTTTTGGGAGCCGATGTAGTTTACATTCTTGTTTTCTAAAAGTACTATAAAGCAGCCCTCTCCGGATTCCGTGAGGGTCACTTTAAATTACTAGTGCGCCCGTACACGACATGAGTTACCATTTCCACCCGCCAATGCGGGAGAAGGTCATCCCTACGCGCTTCCCTTTGTACACGCTGAACCTGCGCCACGCAAACGTGAAAAGTTAAGAGGGAGAGATAGGAACAAAGGGACGCACGTTCTCGACAAGTGACCCAAATAACGCAGAAATTGTAAATTTTTGCCGACTAACTTGGAAATGAGGTATCTTGTAAAGCTCGCTTACTATTCTTGTGGCTAGAAATATTACAAACGCGGCAGCTTGGACTTGTTTTAACTAAAGCCACGGCCTCCCTGACCACTCAGGGGCCCCGGCGGAGAGGTCATCCAGGTCACCCGAGGGTCCCCGGAGCAGCCACCGACCCCCGGGCGACGCCGGGGAAGGCGCGGCTGGCGAAGGCCAGGCCTGAAGGGACTAGCTGGCGCGCGCCAAAAGGGCGTGGTGACGTCAGGGCGGAAGCGCACGCTGCGTGAAGCGGCCCAGACCCCGGCGGTCACGGGAATATACGTCGCGTCGAAAACGCCGGTTAGTCTCGCTCCGGGTTCCGGCTGCGTTGGGTGTGCGTGCGGCTCTCTGAGACTATGGCGTCCGGGCCTCACCCGACCGCTACCGTTGCTGCAGCCGCCTCGTCGGCTGCCCCGAGCGCGGGCGGCTCCAGCTCCGGGACGACGACCACGACGACGACTGCGACGGGAGGGATCCTGATCGGCGACCGCCTCTACTCGGAAGTTTCACTCACCATCGACCACTCGCTGATTCCGGAGGAGCGGCTGTCGCCCACCCCGTCCATGCAGGACGGGCTCGACTTGCCCAGCGAGACGGACTTGCGCATCCTGGGCTGCGAGCTCATCCAGGCCGCGGGTATTCTCCTCCGGCTACCGCAGGTCAGTGCCCGGCCCCGCGCCGACCGGGCGCGCCTCTCCTCCGGGCCATGCCCTCCGCCTCAGCGCGGTCCCGCCGTGCTCCGGCGGCGTGGGGTGACTCTCTCGGGCCCCCTAGTCGGGGCCAGGCGTGCCGAGGGCGGAAGGGCGCGGGGGCCAGAAGAGGACCCGGCAGCGAGCTGTTGGCGGCGGGGCGGGGGAGGGGAGCGAGCGGCGGCACAAAATGGCGGCGGTGCCTGGTGCGGGCCCGCCTGACCCCTGCGCTTCCGTTCTTCTCTCTTGTCTGCAGGTGGCGATGGCAACGGGGCAGGTGTTGTTTCACCGTTTTTTCTACTCCAAGTCTTTCGTCAAACACAGTTTCGAGGTAAGTATAGCGGGGGCGGGCGAAAGGGGATTTCTTCATCCGGAAATGGGAAGGAAGGGGTAGTGTCATCATCAGCCAGCTTTTCTAAAAAAGGGAGTGGTTAGTTGAGTTTTTTGTACCCAGCCCTACCCAGCGGGAAGTAGGGACTTTCAGACTTACAGAAACTAGAAAGTAACTCTTGAGCCCAGGTGCCCTCTTCTCAAGAGTCAGTTTTAAACAAAATTGAAAACTTATGAGACTTGAGCTTGACTCTGGATTCAAAATTAAGAGGAATTAAACAGCAAAAGAAAGCAAAATAGTGTAGCTAGTAAGCCTATGGCCTAGAAGCATCAGTTGTGATTTTATTTCACCAGAGGTTGTCCCAGTGATGCCCTTACATTTCTTCATCAGAGCAGTTAGATTTTGAGAAGGGCATTTTTTTTCTAACCTGATGTTGCCATAAACTACCAACTGTGTTTAATGCATCACGGATTTTTTTATTTTTCAGATTGTTGCCATGGCTTGTATTAATCTTGCATCAAAAATTGAAGAAGCACCAAGAAGAATAAGAGATGTGATTAATGTATTTCACCACCTTCGCCAGTTAAGAGGAAAAAGGTAAGATTGGCACTATTGAAAACAGCCTCTCTTGCTACTACTGTACTGTGCACCAATCATCAAAACATTCTTTCCTCTCAAGTTAAAACCTGATGCAAAGGAAAACTGACTCTAATTTAGGTGTTCACATAGGAGCACACTGATACTTAAACTAATTTGGAAAAAAACACAATTAACCAGCTATCTGAAGTTTGTAGAGGCAGTTACATTTGTGGACAATCCTAACAGTGCTGTGAAGCCAGTCCTGTGGTTTAAGATTAAACAAGAAAGGGAGTGCATTTGGCTCAAGTGTGAGTGTATTCTGTAAGTTATTTTTCCCCTCCCCTCTCTGAAAGACTGAAGGCTGGAAGTTGAAACACCGCAGCTCGTTATTATTGTGGCAAAGTTTTGTGTAGATTGTTTTTCTACTCGAAGTCCCAGTTAATTCTTTATCAATTGAGGTTGGCTTTTGTTAGAATACTTCTCAACATTGAACTACGATATATCGCATAATACCGGATCTGAAAAGGACTGCAGGATGATAAAGGTTGAAGTTTGAAGTCAAAGGGATTAAACAGGTATTTTGTTTTGGTCAGATACAGTCTCAGTGAGTGGGTTAGAAAAATAACGGGGTTGCATTTAGATAAGGCCCATTTATTTGATCTTGTAAGAAAATGGGCCAAAATAGTGTCATTTTATAGGTGTTGTGGCTACGTGATAACACTTCATGCGGACCTTTGTGTTCATGTGAGGCTGTACCAAAGAGGTTTAGTTGCAGAGCTTCCTTTTCTATAGGTGATTTCTGTTACATACTGCAGAAGGATGTCTTTGGTGTAGATTAGCTCTTGTGTTCACTTCTTCAGAAATTGGGGTGTTAGACAAACTTGTACTGGCTTTGAAAGGAGGTTAGATAGAAAAGGATTTTAAGTTGTTTGGGGGATTGGGTGTTGGTTGGTGCCAAATAAGTGTCCTACCTGAGTGGTCTTCGTTGGCTGAATCTGTAAGTTGGCAGTAATGGACCTATTCAGAGACAAGCAAATAGTAAGGTAACCTTGAAACGATTAGTCTAATTAAAAAGTCTGAAACATTGCTACTCAGTTTCCACAGCATTTTTCAGTTTTCTTAGATTCCTTTTTCTGACGACATCCTTCATTCACCTTAACCATATCCAGGGATAGACTAATTTTTTATTTCACTTAAATATATCTGCTGGCTTCTTGGTGAGGAATCACTGGAAATTGGGAAGATTTCAAGTTGGTATTTAGTATGGTTTGAGCTAAAATTTGTATTTAGATAACCTAAATTCCTCGGGATGTTTAAAACAAAATGACACTAATCAAAAGGCTCTTTATTTTCAGTTAAAGGAATTTGTTTAAAGGAAATAACTTTCTGTTAGTATTCTTTGAACCATTGAACGAACTATTGTGTTTTCACGATTACCTACTTAGAAATTTTTCTATGAGACTTAGAGTATTCTTCTTATTCTTTGATATCAGATTAGGTCTTAACTATATTAACCTTGGAATTTAAAATACTTTATCTGACTGACTTGTGTCTGATATAAGTGGTTTTTTTTGGTCATTATCACAGAGAAATTGATTTTGTCTCAGTCTTAGAAGTCTGCTTAAAGCATGAGATTTAAAAGGAGTTGTTAATTGCATGGAAGCCTTTTTTTTTTTTAAAGCAGGATGTAAAAGTGTTTCTATGCATATTACAAGTTTACTCAGACACGTAACTTGTATATGTTATTAACTTCAACTCTTTTTTCCCTTGCAACCGACTATACAGCGACCAGCTACATTTACCAAAGCCTGGGTGATGTGGAGTGGTACATAGAGATGAAGCTGTCGTCATGGCAACAGTGAGTGAAGTATCGAAAATCCCCAAGGAGAAGCCAGTGCTCTGAGAATAGGTCACTGGAATCGGGGACTAACAGGTTGGCCACTGGTGAACCATTTAGAAAAACTCCTGTTTCTTGTTACAAGCTTTTTTCTTTGCTGTCCAAGTTATTAGAGCTATTGCTTACTATTTTTTGCATAGATTGTCGTTAAAAAGTACCAGTATTACACTTAAGTTAGGTAACGTAGTATATCAGTTTATCTTAATAATGCTATTTGTTTTAACTTAAATTATGCATAGCTTTAAATTGTAGTGTGATCTTGTGGTGTAGTACAGAGGAGGCATCACTTTTGTAGTCTTTATTTAGGTCACTTTTTCAGTTCTGGCTACACATTAGAATCAGCAGAAGAGCTTTTAGAAAGTACCAGTGCCCAAGCCCCATCCTGGTTTACTTGATTTTCTTTCTCCCCCTTCAGTTTTTTTTTTGGTAGTTTGATTAATTATCTTTAAGATCAGAATATGGCTGAATTTAAAGGGGAGATGGCTTTTTCATTTCATTTGTTTCTGGTTGCAATTTCTGAGATGCAGCATATTCCCAGCAAATTAAAGGTTTTCTCTAAGTGTTAAGGAGCCCATATTCATGCTATAAGGCTTGTCTGAAAGAGGATAATTAAATCTTCAGACTGGTGCAATCACTCATTGGAGAATATGGTGTATTTTCAACATGTATATAGATCACACACTGGAGTTGGAAGGATCGTAAGTGATTTTGTCATTTAGTCCAGCCTCTGCAGTTTATTTTGCTGGCTCTAAAGGCGGGGTGACCTTCGGTTTGTTTAATCATCACTAAATATTTTTTGAAGTAGGCATAAATTTCAATATACAGAGTATTGAGCGGCAGCCTGCTTCCTTTTAAAACTTCTCATCTCGTTTTAGTATAATCTTTTGAAGAGCTAGTTCCAAATCTTGGTCTGTGTACAACAGGCATGAGACTAAACATGTTTGGCTTTTTTAATCCAGTTTCTTTTTTTTTGTTGTGTTTCAACTAAGTTAATCATGCTAAAGGAAAAACAGCTATGGCCAAAGCCCATGATTTCCTATTAAGACTAAAATTTGAAAACTTTTCATACGATTTAATCTGAGAAATTTTAAAGCATGGGAGGTAGAGTTAGGTTTAATTGATGAATGAAAATTATTTTTTTCTCTAAATATACAAAGGTTTCTTTTTAAGAGATACAAAAATGAACCTCTCCAAACATCATTTGGAAAGGAAAGTTTACCTAACTGAGAAGGAAGAAATTCTAGCAAGCTTTAATCCAATTTAACCTGCTTGTTATAGCCAAGGAAAGTAGTACTAATTGATACTGTTACTGTAAGAAACCACTACTTGCTGAGACAGTTTCCTTGAAACTTTTCTTATGCTTACTTAAAGGGATACAGTTTTCTGTTTCTGGTAACAAAATAATTTTATGAGGTAATTGTAAATTATATGTTCATTCAGTCTTCCTGGATTTGAACAAAATGAAAGTATCAGATTACACACCCACAAAGTTAACTTGGAAAACTGTAGGTAATAGTAGGCCTAAGAAAGAATGTAAAGTATGTAACTGAATTACAGTAAATAATGGGTTTGGTTTTCTGAGATTTTGATAGAGTAAAAGGAAAAGGAAAGATTGTGGCAAGACAGATAGGAAATAACAGTTCATTTGAGTGGAATTAATGAAAGATTCAGCCTGATTTGGTGTCAGATAATAAGGCGTAATTCAAACAAGTATTTAGCTGGTTAAGTGAAAGAAAATGAATTTTAATAGAATTTAAAGGCAACTTTCAAAGCAAGATTAGTTAAGAGGTATAGATGAGTTTGCTCAGCATAAATGGGGGAAAATGAGAAAACTGCTTTGATAAAATTGTGTAAGGATTGTAGTGGTGCAGTTTACTCCAAATCACAGAGGGTGGTGTGCAGCTGTCATGTCAGGTATTCTATCCTGATGCCTGTTGAAGGAGGGCCATCAAAAACTAGTACCAATTAGTCTGAGGTAGATTTGACTTTCCAAATTTCCTGTTAAGATAAAATCTGAAATATAAACCTAAGATCTTTATGGATATTTTCATGTATTGCTTGATTGCTTTCATTTGAGTTGTATTTGACTTTTTCCTGAAGACACGATTAAGTTGTAAACTATTGTTCTGATAAAATGAATTCACTGTTAACATTTTTATGTTAGAAATCAATCATCTTCCCAATTGGTGGCCTCATTCCTCAAACCTTTCTGTGTGATGACAATTGAGAGCAAAGGCCAGTTTCAGCTTTTAAGAGTGACAGCTGTTTTCCATCTTGTCTGTTTTGCCAACTTCTGTTTCATGTTATTTGATAGAAATCATACAGTGTAGAATAATTTGAAATAGCCTACTAGGCATTCCAGTTCTGTAACTTTATGTGGGTGAAAGTAAGAAAAATAAACAGGTGATTTTTACTCTTGAGATGTTCTGTTTGGGTGGTTAATATAGCTCATTTCAGTTTGTTTCCTAATGTTCAAGTGAATATGTTTAATTAGGTTTTTTGGTTTTACAACACATTTTTCTGGATTTGGTGTGCATGGTAAAATGATTTGTGAGTTGGGATAATATTCAGAATGACTTGCTTTCAAAAACAGATGCTTGTGTTTTGCCCAGAGCAAAAACTCTTGAATTTTTTTGACTGAAAATGAATTTGAGTATGGGAGAAAATACTTAAATGTTCTTCTCACATAACATACCATATAACCAGTCTTAATAAAAATGAACTTTTTGTTGGTTAGATCTAAAAATGTATCAAATAAAAGATAATTGGTACAGTTTCTAGGCTTTTAAATGAAAGTCTTAAGTCCTGACTTAAAACAAACTTCTCAGTAAAAAAAGTTTTGAATTTTGTAAGATAGTTATTTAATTGAACATACTACATCCCAAGTATTGAACCATTGATACATATATGGCCTTCTGCATCATAACTTTTGAAGCTGTCATAATTTAGTCTGGCACAGAGACCTTGAGTGTTCTGGTTCACTCATTGTGATCTTCCTTTCTCTTTATGCATTGCATACTTAAGAAAATGGCCTAGTAACTACAATTGGCCAAATTTAGGCTTGGTTTTTATTGATCATTTTGACTTTTTAATCTGATTTTAAAAACATTTCTTTGGTATTTGAGCTGAATTTTTAGTTTTTCAGATCATTTTCTTTAATAGAGGTAGATTTCTTGGAGCAGTTTGTTTAAATTAATTGCCTGTTTCGGGGAACCTGGATTAACAACCCACCATTTTTCCCCTAATTCTTATTTTAGCCATAAACTAGCCAAGAGTTGATACTTCATAAGAATGAGTGAAAACATCACTATGATCTTAAAATATCTTTACAGTAAGAGTGCCTTAGTTTTGTCATTGGAAGGATCTGGAGACTGAATGGGATTTGTGATAATAAATCAAGTGATTGCTTAATTAACATGTATACCTAAAATGTAATCTACATGAAAAAATCAAGAATAAACCCAAAGAGCATTAGACTGAATTTTTTTCACTGCAGTGTTATTTTCTATAGGAATTGAGTCTAGAAAAGTATATATTTAATTAGCATAACTTGGACAGCACAAGATTAATGCTTTAACTTGTTTGCAGGAGTTTAAAAAGCTGGTTTCTGTTGCCAATAGTTGGTTGGAAGGGAAAACGGAGATGCCACAAATAAAATTTTTTGGATGTGCAAAACAGTTTTGATTTTATTTCTTACAAACTATAGGACTCCAAGCCCCCTGATTCTTGATCAGAACTACATTAACACCAAAAATCAAGTTATCAAGGCAGAGAGAAGGGTGCTAAAGGAGTTGGGATTTTGTGTTCATGTCAAGCATCCCCATAAGGTGAGTTTTAGAGTGCAGAAATTACATTCGTAAGTATTAGGGTTTCTTTTAAATTTTACTTTACATGAATTCATATGTTTATATTTGAGAGCTAACCTTGGTTTAAAAAGCATCCTGTTGGATATTGAACTTTATCAGTAAAATGGGAGTAAGAAAGTCGTAGGTTCAAATCATCACCTTTATTGTGTGAGCATAGTTAGGTTCTTTTTGTCCCTGTAATTAACCTATTTTTGCTACCTAGAAAATGGGAGATTGTTGAAATAACCTCATTCCAAGGAATTATACCTGCAAAGTACCTGGCACACTGTCTGTGACCAGGTGAAATCCTCAGAGTGGTAGCTGCTCGTTATTACTCTTTTTGGACATAGATAGGTTTTCCGGCATCTCTTGGCTTGTGTGTGGTCATAATAGCACAGTGGTTATGAGAATGGGTGCTCTAGGGGCAGAACTAGCTGCGGTACAAGCTTGTCTCTGCCATTAGCTGTGTGACCTGGCAGATACCTCTGGTCCTCAGATTCCACATCTCTATACAATTGTGAAACGGGAATGATTTGATTATAGAGGTTGTGAAAGATCTGACCTGAACTGAGGTAAAGCTGTTTATATATTTTATTTATCACACTGTAGTTTGATAAGCTTCATTATAGATACATTGTGTTTGATTGCTTACTGTCCTATCCACTCTGAGTGTTACAGTAATGTGATCCCCATTTTATAACTAAAAAAGCATTGATTTTAGAGTTCCTTAACATGAGAATTGTACCTTAGAAAATTAATCTAGTGCCGTACCTGTCACATAGTAAAGTGTTGGTGAAAAGTTATGGCATTGTTTTTAATTGAACTCCCATTATTTTCCTGTATGATCTTGGAACATAATTCTTACAAAATCCTATAGCATATGATAAACCCACATTGACTGTCAGGTCCATTTTAGGTTGGTCCTATTTGTAGTTTATAAAAGAACTACAACTTGGACCTAACATTTTTCACTTATATTCATTGAACTCTGTACTCTGAAAGAACCACTGGTATGCTAAATTCAGTTTTTTTCCCTTGTTCTTCAGATCATTGTTATGTATTTACAAGTCTTAGAATGTGAACGTAATCAAACCCTGGTTCAAACTGCCTGGTAAGTTGCTTTTTTACATTTCTTTCCTAGCCAGGAAAACAGAAGCAGAAATAAAGTAAGTTTCATTTTCCCTTTCCAAAATAATGAGATGAGTTTGGTTTGGTGCTTTTGTTTTTTTGTTTTTTAATCAAAAGGTAAATAATGCTTATTTCTGCTTCCTGTTTTCTTGGCTTGACTTGTTGCTTTTAATGGAGGACTCAATTTAACTTTGTTCTTTTTTCTACTCTTTAATTAAAGGGTAGTCCATGATGGTAAGTCATAGAACTCTGCCCTCTGCACTTCAGCCCATGACCTCAGGATGGCCTGATTGGCTGCCCTGCTCTCCAGCCAATCCAGTGCAAGCTCTCATCCGAGATTCACTGAAGTGGTCCATATCCATCTGGCAGCATCTTCTAGTTCTGTCGGGGTGTCTAAAGGATTTGTATATTTGCTTCTAGAAGTAACTATTCAACATGCATATGTATTTAATGTATACCTTGTAACTATCAAAATGAATAGTTCATTTTTGATAGATTTGTTGTCCAGCCATTATGAATTAAATGATTTTTTTTGTTAGAAGTTTGATAGATTTCTATTTTTAGTATGTATAGCATGAATTCTACCAAGGAAACTATAACTTACAGTTTAAAATGGGCACCATTCCCATATTGGATGCATTTATAGCTGCTGGGCTGTTGCAGGCAATGATAAAGAAGTAAGAAATACTTCATTTTTAAAAGATGCTAATATTAACAGAAGCACTTTAGAACTTGGACTTTTGACATGCAGGTGTGTAATTTGGAGTACTCGCTTATTTAAAGGTAAAATGAGTGTGGTCCAACCACAACTACTTTCTCAAGACTGTTGATGTGCAGGACTGAAGGGACATAAATTTTGTATTCTTGACATGACTACCATGCTTCTTTTGGACTCCGTGAATATTACTAATACTGGGAAGTCTCATTGCTTTTATAAAATGCATGTCATTTTTAATATATGTTCCATAGAACAGATTTTAGCAGCTTTTGTGGGTAAGGAATTTTAAGACATAGTGTTTAATTTCAATTTAACCTTTTAAACAGTTTCTTCAGTACTTTAGGAATGTTGGGAGGGTTCACTAATAGTCCAGCAATTTATTAACTGAAGTAGTTCATCGCCTTTATTGATACTAGTCATACACAAAAAGGTATGTAAACGAGGCTGTTGTATATATTTATTGCTGTTTACTTCCCTACCTAGATTTTTTGAAGTAGATTAGATTTCTTAATTGAAATATAACTTAGTGATNAGCCCTACCCAGCGGGAAGTAGGGACTTTCAGACTTACAGAAACTAGAAAGTAACTCTTGAGCCCAGGTGCCCTCTTCTCAAGAGTCAGTTTTAAACAAAATTGAAAACTTATGAGACTTGAGCTTGACTCTGGATTCAAAATTAAGAGGAATTAAACAGCAAAAGAAAGCAAAATAGTGTAGCTAGTAAGCCTATGGCCTAGAAGCATCAGTTGTGATTTTATTTCACCAGAGGTTGTCCCAGTGATGCCCTTACATTTCTTCATCAGAGCAGTTAGATTTTGAGAAGGGCATTTTTTTTCTAACCTGATGTTGCCATAAACTACCAACTGTGTTTAATGCATCACGGATTTTTTTATTTTTCAGATTGTTGCCATGGCTTGTATTAATCTTGCATCAAAAATTGAAGAAGCACCAAGAAGAATAAGAGATGTGATTAATGTATTTCACCACCTTCGCCAGTTAAGAGGAAAAAGGTAAGATTGGCACTATTGAAAACAGCCTCTCTTGCTACTACTGTACTGTGCACCAATCATCAAAACATTCTTTCCTCTCAAGTTAAAACCTGATGCAAAGGAAAACTGACTCTAATTTAGGTGTTCACATAGGAGCACACTGATACTTAAACTAATTTGGAAAAAAACACAATTAACCAGCTATCTGAAGTTTGTAGAGGCAGTTACATTTGTGGACAATCCTAACAGTGCTGTGAAGCCAGTCCTGTGGTTTAAGATTAAACAAGAAAGGGAGTGCATTTGGCTCAAGTGTGAGTGTATTCTGTAAGTTATTTTTCCCCTCCCCTCTCTGAAAGACTGAAGGCTGGAAGTTGAAACACCGCAGCTCGTTATTATTGTGGCAAAGTTTTGTGTAGATTGTTTTTCTACTCGAAGTCCCAGTTAATTCTTTATCAATTGAGGTTGGCTTTTGTTAGAATACTTCTCAACATTGAACTACGATATATCGCATAATACCGGATCTGAAAAGGACTGCAGGATGATAAAGGTTGAAGTTTGAAGTCAAAGGGATTAAACAGGTATTTTGTTTTGGTCAGATACAGTCTCAGTGAGTGGGTTAGAAAAATAACGGGGTTGCATTTAGATAAGGCCCATTTATTTGATCTTGTAAGAAAATGGGCCAAAATAGTGTCATTTTATAGGTGTTGTGGCTACGTGATAACACTTCATGCGGACCTTTGTGTTCATGTGAGGCTGTACCAAAGAGGTTTAGTTGCAGAGCTTCCTTTTCTATAGGTGATTTCTGTTACATACTGCAGAAGGATGTCTTTGGTGTAGATTAGCTCTTGTGTTCACTTCTTCAGAAATTGGGGTGTTAGACAAACTTGTACTGGCTTTGAAAGGAGGTTAGATAGAAAAGGATTTTAAGTTGTTTGGGGGATTGGGTGTTGGTTGGTGCCAAATAAGTGTCCTACCTGAGTGGTCTTCGTTGGCTGAATCTGTAAGTTGGCAGTAATGGACCTATTCAGAGACAAGCAAATAGTAAGGTAACCTTGAAACGATTAGTCTAATTAAAAAGTCTGAAACATTGCTACTCAGTTTCCACAGCATTTTTCAGTTTTCTTAGATTCCTTTTTCTGACGACATCCTTCATTCACCTTAACCATATCCAGGGATAGACTAATTTTTTATTTCACTTAAATATATCTGCTGGCTTCTTGGTGAGGAATCACTGGAAATTGGGAAGATTTCAAGTTGGTATTTAGTATGGTTTGAGCTAAAATTTGTATTTAGATAACCTAAATTCCTCGGGATGTTTAAAACAAAATGACACTAATCAAAAGGCTCTTTATTTTCAGTTAAAGGAATTTGTTTAAAGGAAATAACTTTCTGTTAGTATTCTTTGAACCATTGAACGAACTATTGTGTTTTCACGATTACCTACTTAGAAATTTTTCTATGAGACTTAGAGTATTCTTCTTATTCTTTGATATCAGATTAGGTCTTAACTATATTAACCTTGGAATTTAAAATACTTTATCTGACTGACTTGTGTCTGATATAAGTGGTTTTTTTTGGTCATTATCACAGAGAAATTGATTTTGTCTCAGTCTTAGAAGTCTGCTTAAAGCATGAGATTTAAAAGGAGTTGTTAATTGCATGGAAGCCTTTTTTTTTTTTAAAGCAGGATGTAAAAGTGTTTCTATGCATATTACAAGTTTACTCAGACACGTAACTTGTATATGTTATTAACTTCAACTCTTTTTTCCCTTGCAACCGACTATACAGCGACCAGCTACATTTACCAAAGCCTGGGTGATGTGGAGTGGTACATAGAGATGAAGCTGTCGTCATGGCAACAGTGAGTGAAGTATCGAAAATCCCCAAGGAGAAGCCAGTGCTCTGAGAATAGGTCACTGGAATCGGGGACTAACAGGTTGGCCACTGGTGAACCATTTAGAAAAACTCCTGTTTCTTGTTACAAGCTTTTTTCTTTGCTGTCCAAGTTATTAGAGCTATTGCTTACTATTTTTTGCATAGATTGTCGTTAAAAAGTACCAGTATTACACTTAAGTTAGGTAACGTAGTATATCAGTTTATCTTAATAATGCTATTTGTTTTAACTTAAATTATGCATAGCTTTAAATTGTAGTGTGATCTTGTGGTGTAGTACAGAGGAGGCATCACTTTTGTAGTCTTTATTTAGGTCACTTTTTCAGTTCTGGCTACACATTAGAATCAGCAGAAGAGCTTTTAGAAAGTACCAGTGCCCAAGCCCCATCCTGGTTTACTTGATTTTCTTTCTCCCCCTTCAGTTTTTTTTTTGGTAGTTTGATTAATTATCTTTAAGATCAGAATATGGCTGAATTTAAAGGGGAGATGGCTTTTTCATTTCATTTGTTTCTGGTTGCAATTTCTGAGATGCAGCATATTCCCAGCAAATTAAAGGTTTTCTCTAAGTGTTAAGGAGCCCATATTCATGCTATAAGGCTTGTCTGAAAGAGGATAATTAAATCTTCAGACTGGTGCAATCACTCATTGGAGAATATGGTGTATTTTCAACATGTATATAGATCACACACTGGAGTTGGAAGGATCGTAAGTGATTTTGTCATTTAGTCCAGCCTCTGCAGTTTATTTTGCTGGCTCTAAAGGCGGGGTGACCTTCGGTTTGTTTAATCATCACTAAATATTTTTTGAAGTAGGCATAAATTTCAATATACAGAGTATTGAGCGGCAGCCTGCTTCCTTTTAAAACTTCTCATCTCGTTTTAGTATAATCTTTTGAAGAGCTAGTTCCAAATCTTGGTCTGTGTACAACAGGCATGAGACTAAACATGTTTGGCTTTTTTAATCCAGTTTCTTTTTTTTTGTTGTGTTTCAACTAAGTTAATCATGCTAAAGGAAAAACAGCTATGGCCAAAGCCCATGATTTCCTATTAAGACTAAAATTTGAAAACTTTTCATACGATTTAATCTGAGAAATTTTAAAGCATGGGAGGTAGAGTTAGGTTTAATTGATGAATGAAAATTATTTTTTTCTCTAAATATACAAAGGTTTCTTTTTAAGAGATACAAAAATGAACCTCTCCAAACATCATTTGGAAAGGAAAGTTTACCTAACTGAGAAGGAAGAAATTCTAGCAAGCTTTAATCCAATTTAACCTGCTTGTTATAGCCAAGGAAAGTAGTACTAATTGATACTGTTACTGTAAGAAACCACTACTTGCTGAGACAGTTTCCTTGAAACTTTTCTTATGCTTACTTAAAGGGATACAGTTTTCTGTTTCTGGTAACAAAATAATTTTATGAGGTAATTGTAAATTATATGTTCATTCAGTCTTCCTGGATTTGAACAAAATGAAAGTATCAGATTACACACCCACAAAGTTAACTTGGAAAACTGTAGGTAATAGTAGGCCTAAGAAAGAATGTAAAGTATGTAACTGAATTACAGTAAATAATGGGTTTGGTTTTCTGAGATTTTGATAGAGTAAAAGGAAAAGGAAAGATTGTGGCAAGACAGATAGGAAATAACAGTTCATTTGAGTGGAATTAATGAAAGATTCAGCCTGATTTGGTGTCAGATAATAAGGCGTAATTCAAACAAGTATTTAGCTGGTTAAGTGAAAGAAAATGAATTTTAATAGAATTTAAAGGCAACTTTCAAAGCAAGATTAGTTAAGAGGTATAGATGAGTTTGCTCAGCATAAATGGGGGAAAATGAGAAAACTGCTTTGATAAAATTGTGTAAGGATTGTAGTGGTGCAGTTTACTCCAAATCACAGAGGGTGGTGTGCAGCTGTCATGTCAGGTATTCTATCCTGATGCCTGTTGAAGGAGGGCCATCAAAAACTAGTACCAATTAGTCTGAGGTAGATTTGACTTTCCAAATTTCCTGTTAAGATAAAATCTGAAATATAAACCTAAGATCTTTATGGATATTTTCATGTATTGCTTGATTGCTTTCATTTGAGTTGTATTTGACTTTTTCCTGAAGACACGATTAAGTTGTAAACTATTGTTCTGATAAAATGAATTCACTGTTAACATTTTTATGTTAGAAATCAATCATCTTCCCAATTGGTGGCCTCATTCCTCAAACCTTTCTGTGTGATGACAATTGAGAGCAAAGGCCAGTTTCAGCTTTTAAGAGTGACAGCTGTTTTCCATCTTGTCTGTTTTGCCAACTTCTGTTTCATGTTATTTGATAGAAATCATACAGTGTAGAATAATTTGAAATAGCCTACTAGGCATTCCAGTTCTGTAACTTTATGTGGGTGAAAGTAAGAAAAATAAACAGGTGATTTTTACTCTTGAGATGTTCTGTTTGGGTGGTTAATATAGCTCATTTCAGTTTGTTTCCTAATGTTCAAGTGAATATGTTTAATTAGGTTTTTTGGTTTTACAACACATTTTTCTGGATTTGGTGTGCATGGTAAAATGATTTGTGAGTTGGGATAATATTCAGAATGACTTGCTTTCAAAAACAGATGCTTGTGTTTTGCCCAGAGCAAAAACTCTTGAATTTTTTTGACTGAAAATGAATTTGAGTATGGGAGAAAATACTTAAATGTTCTTCTCACATAACATACCATATAACCAGTCTTAATAAAAATGAACTTTTTGTTGGTTAGATCTAAAAATGTATCAAATAAAAGATAATTGGTACAGTTTCTAGGCTTTTAAATGAAAGTCTTAAGTCCTGACTTAAAACAAACTTCTCAGTAAAAAAAGTTTTGAATTTTGTAAGATAGTTATTTAATTGAACATACTACATCCCAAGTATTGAACCATTGATACATATATGGCCTTCTGCATCATAACTTTTGAAGCTGTCATAATTTAGTCTGGCACAGAGACCTTGAGTGTTCTGGTTCACTCATTGTGATCTTCCTTTCTCTTTATGCATTGCATACTTAAGAAAATGGCCTAGTAACTACAATTGGCCAAATTTAGGCTTGGTTTTTATTGATCATTTTGACTTTTTAATCTGATTTTAAAAACATTTCTTTGGTATTTGAGCTGAATTTTTAGTTTTTCAGATCATTTTCTTTAATAGAGGTAGATTTCTTGGAGCAGTTTGTTTAAATTAATTGCCTGTTTCGGGGAACCTGGATTAACAACCCACCATTTTTCCCCTAATTCTTATTTTAGCCATAAACTAGCCAAGAGTTGATACTTCATAAGAATGAGTGAAAACATCACTATGATCTTAAAATATCTTTACAGTAAGAGTGCCTTAGTTTTGTCATTGGAAGGATCTGGAGACTGAATGGGATTTGTGATAATAAATCAAGTGATTGCTTAATTAACATGTATACCTAAAATGTAATCTACATGAAAAAATCAAGAATAAACCCAAAGAGCATTAGACTGAATTTTTTTCACTGCAGTGTTATTTTCTATAGGAATTGAGTCTAGAAAAGTATATATTTAATTAGCATAACTTGGACAGCACAAGATTAATGCTTTAACTTGTTTGCAGGAGTTTAAAAAGCTGGTTTCTGTTGCCAATAGTTGGTTGGAAGGGAAAACGGAGATGCCACAAATAAAATTTTTTGGATGTGCAAAACAGTTTTGATTTTATTTCTTACAAACTATAGGACTCCAAGCCCCCTGATTCTTGATCAGAACTACATTAACACCAAAAATCAAGTTATCAAGGCAGAGAGAAGGGTGCTAAAGGAGTTGGGATTTTGTGTTCATGTCAAGCATCCCCATAAGGTGAGTTTTAGAGTGCAGAAATTACATTCGTAAGTATTAGGGTTTCTTTTAAATTTTACTTTACATGAATTCATATGTTTATATTTGAGAGCTAACCTTGGTTTAAAAAGCATCCTGTTGGATATTGAACTTTATCAGTAAAATGGGAGTAAGAAAGTCGTAGGTTCAAATCATCACCTTTATTGTGTGAGCATAGTTAGGTTCTTTTTGTCCCTGTAATTAACCTATTTTTGCTACCTAGAAAATGGGAGATTGTTGAAATAACCTCATTCCAAGGAATTATACCTGCAAAGTACCTGGCACACTGTCTGTGACCAGGTGAAATCCTCAGAGTGGTAGCTGCTCGTTATTACTCTTTTTGGACATAGATAGGTTTTCCGGCATCTCTTGGCTTGTGTGTGGTCATAATAGCACAGTGGTTATGAGAATGGGTGCTCTAGGGGCAGAACTAGCTGCGGTACAAGCTTGTCTCTGCCATTAGCTGTGTGACCTGGCAGATACCTCTGGTCCTCAGATTCCACATCTCTATACAATTGTGAAACGGGAATGATTTGATTATAGAGGTTGTGAAAGATCTGACCTGAACTGAGGTAAAGCTGTTTATATATTTTATTTATCACACTGTAGTTTGATAAGCTTCATTATAGATACATTGTGTTTGATTGCTTACTGTCCTATCCACTCTGAGTGTTACAGTAATGTGATCCCCATTTTATAACTAAAAAAGCATTGATTTTAGAGTTCCTTAACATGAGAATTGTACCTTAGAAAATTAATCTAGTGCCGTACCTGTCACATAGTAAAGTGTTGGTGAAAAGTTATGGCATTGTTTTTAATTGAACTCCCATTATTTTCCTGTATGATCTTGGAACATAATTCTTACAAAATCCTATAGCATATGATAAACCCACATTGACTGTCAGGTCCATTTTAGGTTGGTCCTATTTGTAGTTTATAAAAGAACTACAACTTGGACCTAACATTTTTCACTTATATTCATTGAACTCTGTACTCTGAAAGAACCACTGGTATGCTAAATTCAGTTTTTTTCCCTTGTTCTTCAGATCATTGTTATGTATTTACAAGTCTTAGAATGTGAACGTAATCAAACCCTGGTTCAAACTGCCTGGTAAGTTGCTTTTTTACATTTCTTTCCTAGCCAGGAAAACAGAAGCAGAAATAAAGTAAGTTTCATTTTCCCTTTCCAAAATAATGAGATGAGTTTGGTTTGGTGCTTTTGTTTTTTTGTTTTTTAATCAAAAGGTAAATAATGCTTATTTCTGCTTCCTGTTTTCTTGGCTTGACTTGTTGCTTTTAATGGAGGACTCAATTTAACTTTGTTCTTTTTTCTACTCTTTAATTAAAGGGTAGTCCATGATGGTAAGTCATAGAACTCTGCCCTCTGCACTTCAGCCCATGACCTCAGGATGGCCTGATTGGCTGCCCTGCTCTCCAGCCAATCCAGTGCAAGCTCTCATCCGAGATTCACTGAAGTGGTCCATATCCATCTGGCAGCATCTTCTAGTTCTGTCGGGGTGTCTAAAGGATTTGTATATTTGCTTCTAGAAGTAACTATTCAACATGCATATGTATTTAATGTATACCTTGTAACTATCAAAATGAATAGTTCATTTTTGATAGATTTGTTGTCCAGCCATTATGAATTAAATGATTTTTTTTGTTAGAAGTTTGATAGATTTCTATTTTTAGTATGTATAGCATGAATTCTACCAAGGAAACTATAACTTACAGTTTAAAATGGGCACCATTCCCATATTGGATGCATTTATAGCTGCTGGGCTGTTGCAGGCAATGATAAAGAAGTAAGAAATACTTCATTTTTAAAAGATGCTAATATTAACAGAAGCACTTTAGAACTTGGACTTTTGACATGCAGGTGTGTAATTTGGAGTACTCGCTTATTTAAAGGTAAAATGAGTGTGGTCCAACCACAACTACTTTCTCAAGACTGTTGATGTGCAGGACTGAAGGGACATAAATTTTGTATTCTTGACATGACTACCATGCTTCTTTTGGACTCCGTGAATATTACTAATACTGGGAAGTCTCATTGCTTTTATAAAATGCATGTCATTTTTAATATATGTTCCATAGAACAGATTTTAGCAGCTTTTGTGGGTAAGGAATTTTAAGACATAGTGTTTAATTTCAATTTAACCTTTTAAACAGTTTCTTCAGTACTTTAGGAATGTTGGGAGGGTTCACTAATAGTCCAGCAATTTATTAACTGAAGTAGTTCATCGCCTTTATTGATACTAGTCATACACAAAAAGGTATGTAAACGAGGCTGTTGTATATATTTATTGCTGTTTACTTCCCTACCTAGATTTTTTGAAGTAGATTAGATTTCTTAATTGAAATATAACTTAGTGATTGCATACTAAAAATAAAAATGCCTTTTTACCCCTGTTACACTATTTTTTGAGTCTTTGAAAGAACTTGTTGACACTGCTTTTCATTGTGGATAAAGGAGAGATGGTCAATAATTAATGGCTTGAAGTATTGTTGGAGTGGTGTGTCATTTCTGAAACCAGTTCTCTCAGAAGTGACTTTTTAAAAAAGCATTGCAATGCTTTTTATAGAAGTATATTTAAAACTTGGAAGTTCTGTTTGGAATAATTGCAATTATTTTATTTTAAAGGTCCTAGTTCATATACCAAAAGAAGTTGAAGAACACTGAAGGGTGGTTCTCATGTTAAATTCTTACCTCTTATTATTGATTTTTGAGTTAAGAATTGTGATATGCTAGAATATCAGAATGTGGATATAAATACGAGAAGAAAAAAGAATAAAATAGATTGAGTCTCCAATTTTATGTAAGTTTCAGAAGAGCTGGTTTGTTTATGCACAAAGCTTATGGTTGAAATATTTTTCAGGAATTATATGAATGACAGTCTTCGAACCAATGTATTTGTTCGATTTCAACCAGAGACTATAGCATGTGCTTGCATCTACCTTGCAGCTAGAGCACTTCAGGTAGGTATTAGAATGTGTTTTGTCCTATAGGGTAGATAAATCCTAAGAATTAGAATTACTAATCCTAATAAAAACTGAAAATTTAAAACATTCTTTTTCTGTGGTTTAGATTCCACTGCCAACTCGTCCCCACTGGTTTCTTCTTTTTGGTACTACAGAAGAAGAGATCCAGGAAATCTGCATAGAAACACTCAGGCTTTATACCAGAAAAAAGGTAACTGTTTACTTGTGTATGTGTGTACCAGTACTTTCTCAATGCTAAGAATCTAAGCTATTGTAAAAGAAGTGTTAACTCCATTTTACGCCACAGCCAAACTATGAATTGTTGGAAAAAGAAGTAGAGAAAAGAAAAGTAGCCCTACAAGAAGCCAAATTAAAAGCAAAGGGATTGAATCCTGATGGAACTCCAGCCCTTTCGACCCTTGGTGGATTTTCTCCAGCTTCTAAACCATGTAAGATTGATTCAGAATTGAAATAATTTGGCACTGAAGGTGTATGGTTTATTAGAAAGCTTTAGCATTTAACAATAGCCCGGCAACAATGATGTTAAGAAGCTGTTACTGTTTCATTACTTCAGCCAAAGACTAATACTTGAAAGCATGGTACTTTGAAAACAACCTTTGATCCTCTGTTAAATCCAATAGTTAGCATGTCTTTATTATGTTTTTAAAAAAGCATCACCAAGAGAAGTAAAAACTGAAGAGAAGTCACCAATCTCTATTAATGTGAAGACAGTCAAAAAAGAACCTGAGGATAGACAACAGGCTTCCAAAAGCCCTTATAATGGGTGAGTATACTTAATTTAGAAAACTGGTCTAAGGAGTCTTTTTATGTATTCAATTTCTAACACAGTAAGTGTATAACTAAAATATTGTTTCTTTTGAAGTGTAAGAAAAGACAGCAAGAGAAGTAGAAACAGCAGAAGTGCAAGTCGATCAAGGTCAAGAACACGATCACATTCTAGATCACATACTCCGAGAAGACAGTAAGTAAATACTCTTAGGGAAAGCAGTCTTATCCAGAGTACTTAATTGCTTTTTTAAAAAATTGAACATTCATTTTTTGAAAGATATGCTAGATTTAGGCATTTAACAGGAGGCACATTATGAGAAATGAGTTTAGAAATATGCACTGTGTGTATGTGGCAGTTTTGTTTGTCTTGTGGCTTAATAGCATTCTGTAATCATTCTTTCTCCAGTTTCAATTAGAAAATACAAATATTAACCATTTATTAGTGACCAACAATCAAGTCAACCATTGCCAAAGAATCTTCTTCCTAGGTAGCTTTGTAATGAGATAGTTACTTGGGGTTCTTAGTGGAGTTGTTGAGCATTTGGGAAATAATAAGCGTAGCTGTCTAGGACACTTTGTAAAAATTACTAATTGCTCCCCTCCTTGGAATAGACATAGTACATTTGTTTAATATTTGTGTAGTATGTTAATAGGCTGGAAGGGAGGTAAAGGGTTGGGGAAATTTAATAAAATTCTTCAGTCTAACCTGTTGACACAGGTCAGTAGTTCTGTTTTGAACCTCTTAGCACCACCAAAAAAATAATCTGTTCCCGGCAGAGACTGAATCTAAACCTCAAATTTTTATTATCTAAGTTATAATAATAGGCGGAGTCGATCTGGAACATACAGCTCAAGATCAAGAAGCAGGTCCCGCAGTCACAGTGAAAGCCCAAGAAGACATCATAATCATGGTTCTCCTCACCTTAAGGCCAAGCATACCAGAGATGAGTTAAAAAGCTCAAATAGACATGGTCATAAAAGGAAAAAATCTCGTTCTCGATCTCAGAGCAAGTCTCGAGATCACTCAGATGCTGCCAAGAAACACAGGCATGAAAGGGGACATCATAGGGACAGGCGCGAAAGATCTCGCTCCTTTGAGAGGTCCCATAAAGGCAAGCACCACGGCGGCAGCCGATCAGGACATGGCAGGCACAGGCGCTGACCTTCTTCCTTTAAGCCTGCATCAGCTCTTGTTCTGCCTGTCTGCAGTGTGGTGTATGGACTCATCATCAGAACATTAAAAGCAAACTGATTAGGATTTGATTTCTGAAAACCCTCTAGGTCTCTAGAACACTTGGGGATATTTCTTTTTGGAAAGAACTATGTTAACTTTTTTTTTTTTGCACATTAAAATGCCCTAGCAGTATCTAATTGAAAACCATGGTCAGGTTCAATTGTGCTTATTATAGTTGTGTATTGTTTATTGCTATAAGAACTGGAGAGTGAATTCTGTAAAAATGTATCTTATTTTTATACAAATCAAATTGCAGACACTGTTCTATTTAAGTGGTTATTTGTTTAAATGATGGTGAATACTTTCTTAACACTGGTTTGTCTGCATGTGTAAAGATTTTTACAAGGAAATAAAATACAAATCTTGTTTTTCTAAATTGCTTCATATATCTTATTTAAATAAATTATTAAAAAGCAAAATTTTAATAGTAAAATGTCTGTACTGATTTTCTCATAAACCTGTTCTTTCCTCCATGAGCCATAGTTTGAGATTATTAAAATGCAATTCTAATCCGCATAGGGAACTAGTAATAGTTTCACCCTACATATGGAAAAAACAAATGGGACTGGCTCAACAGGGTAATATTAAATGTTCTATTGTAGCACTAAACCAGTCTCCAAGTTGAAACCTATTTGCACACAAGTGGTACCATAAGGTTATTTTAAGTCTTTATAAATATTATCTATTCCTAAAGTGAGCTGTGCTCTTGAACAAATCAAAACATTTAACATGATAGTAAATTAGACCCAGTTATTGAGCTTTAAAGAATCTCCTTAGGTATTTAGTGATCATTTTTATCTAGGCTAGGAGAGTTAACTAAAAGTGGGGCCTGTCCCCCACCCTCCTTTGCCAGACCTGGCTGGTAAAGTAAATGACCACAGAAAATAAAGTTTTGTTGGAAAAGCCAGAAATCATATCCAAATGAGTATTTTTCTTACTCCTATCAAGTTATTTTCCCAATATTTTGGAAGTAAATTTAGAAATCTTAAAAGGCCATAGTAAAATTTTTCATTACTTTATAGTTACATAAAGCTTTACATTTTTTTACCCATCTTGATTACTTACCTTGTCTACTAGACTTGGCTCCAAATGATTTGTTGCTGTTTCAAAAAACCAAATACACCCACAGAGAGATGAAGATTTACTGCCATTAAGGATGCTTAAAAATAGTTACAGCTTCTGAAGACGATTACAAAGAAGATTCGCAAACATGTTCACCAGTGGCGGGCAGTGGGGCTAGAAAGGAGAAAGCCTCACAAGGCAACCACAATGACGGAGACAAGACTCATTTGGATATAAAAATGCCGGGTATGCTACTTAAATCAGTTCTTTATCTAACTCTAAACAACTAATATGGCCTAGCATGAATGAGCTGAAAGAGGGAGGGAAAGCAATTATGAATGTTCTGTATGATTTTATAGTACATGTTGCTGAGCTGTAACAGTTTCTGAGGAGCTTCAACTGCCTTAAATAGTAAACAGTTTGTCCTTTACAAGATAAACAATGAAGAAAGACAATGGCAGATGTCAGCAGAGGCCCTATTTAACAAACTAATCTTGAAAATGATTTGCCTTCATCTTTGGGAATAACTGAGGATGACTTGTGGAAATGGAGACAGATCTGTATCTGGAGTGAGGCTTCTATGTTAGAGATGGCTTTAGTATCTTTTCCCATGTGGCCTAACTTTTGTTATGACTTGTGGAAATGGAGACAGATCTGTATCTGGAGTGAGGCTTCTATGTTAGAGATGGCTTTAGTATCTTTTCCCATGTGGCCTAACTTTTGTTGCTAAGTTTACGAGGTGTTTGTCAAACTGAAAAACTTACTGCTTTGTATGCCTTTAAAAACATGTTTCTGTTACAGAAAAAGCAATCTTCAAACTTTTCTTAAGAGAATTTCAAATAGAAGTAGAGTACCTGTCAGCTCAGAAAATAACGATCAATTCATGGTCAGCCAACCTTGTTTTTACCTCAGCAATTCATTCCACCTTCCACCTTTATTTGGAAGAAAATCCCGTTCAAATAGTTTCATCAAGTATTTCAGTCCAAAAGGTAAAGGCAAACAGCCACAGTACTTTGATTATACACTTAACAGTACTGCCCTACTACATCAGTATCCAGATTTCCCTTACTGTTTCTAATGATTTTATAATTGGTTTGTTCAAATAAGGTCGGTCGTTGCCTTGGTTTTCATCACAGATTTCCATGTTTGTTTTTTCCCTTGTAATTTAAAGAAATTAGGTCATTTGTTCCTGAGACATTTGTGACATTGTTGGTTCTCTGTAACCTTATGGTCACTTACTGTTTTTCTGTTCCCTGTAAACCTGTAGAGTAGAGTTCAAGGTTTGATCAGATACAGGTTTAACAATCTTACTGGCCTAAAATTCAGATGTCTGGGGGCCCAGGCTATGTGTTATTTTAGAACTAGTACTAGATTGTTGCCTCATTCATCAGATAATTGACTGAGTCCCCAATTCTCAATCCATTAGTACTTGAAAGTCAACAGCCTTGTATGCATGTTCCCCACTTGTGTCATTACCATGTTTGTTTTCCATTAAAGCCGTAAATCTTAATGTGGAAAAGCTGTTGTTAAGTATTTGTGCTAATGATCCCTGTTTTTAACACACAGTCCTTTCATGGAGTTTCCTTTTATAGAATGTTAACATTTGTCCTTTACAATTGGTCTCTTAACCCTAAAGGAAGACCAGTGAAATTGTTGATCATGGTTCCATTTTAAAATGGAAAGAATACATAGTCATAAAAATGACTACATTTTTACTGAAATTAAGTTTTACTTTATAGCTTTTGTCACTGTTAACATCGGTTACTAACCCCATTATTAAGCCTACAATCTGCATTAAAAGCCTTATTTTAAAATTCTATGTTGGCTTTCATGAAAGTTTTCAAGAACTAGGTAATTTTATAGTAACAAATATTCTATGTCTTAAGAGCCATTTCTTAACTCACCGTGGGCTGTAACAGATAATTAATGAAGGTTAATGGCTTTTTTTAAAGAGCAGATTTTTCCAAGAATCGTTAAAAACACAGACACTCAATTTAGCTTGAGAGATTGACACTATACAGGGATTTGATAAGGAAAACTATCACTTCTCCCACTGGGAAAATTGGAAAGGAAGCAGCTTTCATTGAGTGGGCCTTGATCCCCCCATATCCCCTAGAGTGGTTATTTGTGTGTCTGGAAGGCACAGCTTAACTTCATTTGTAACCATTTGAACTTTGTCCATTTCTGGAATGGAAGGAACATGTACTTCCATGTCAGCTCAGCATTCCACTCATTCCTCTTAGGTGACTTGGCAAGTCATTTAACCTCTTGTCTGCAGACTGGCCCTTATCTCACAGTATTTTGTAAAGTATGTGTTAGGCAGATGGAAGGATATTTCCATCCCTGTAATCCAAACAGTTCATATTAAAAAATGCCTAAGAAAAGTTTGAATTCTGTGTTTCCTATGAACACAATTCAAAATACAGCTGTTTCAGAATGCTACCTCACTGAGATGAGATCTGATTGTGGATGGTGCAAGATTTTAATAATTAAACCATGAAAACATTGGGCTCTTTGATTTCAGGTGTCCTCTTGACCCTTCTGCTTTTGCCACCTCCGCTCATATAAATCCAACCCAGTTCTAAGTACAGAGGGAATTCCTACCCTGCCTGCTTTTATTTGTCATCAAATTCCTTCCCTCCATGTCAGCTTTCATATCAATAGTATGGGTAGTAGCATTTCTATTTGTATACCTTTGCCACAATCCTTCAAATGGCAGCTAATGATCTATTTAAAACGTTCATCACATGTTAACAAAGTTTCCGGTGGTTTCCCATTTCACTGCATAGACTACAAACCCCTGACTGGCTGTATGTGATCTGATGCTTGCCAGCCTCTTCTGTCACCATCCTCTCTCTCTTCACAAATACATCTATCCCTGAGCCTTTGCACTTCCTGCCCTCCCTGCTTGGGGTGCCCTTCTCCCAGATCTTATATGCTTCATCATTCAGCTCCCCATTAGGAAGTCTCTTCAGAGGGGACTTCTTTTTACACTCAGTCAAAAAAGCCACTCTAGATGCTCCCATCAAGTTCTATTCCTTAGCACTAATTTTTTCATAATGCTTACCACTATCAGATTAATTTTGTTTTACCATTGACTGTCATATCCAGAATAAAAGTTTCCAGAGAACTGCAAAAGTGGTTTATTCATTACCATATGCCCCTTACTAATTCTACAATAGTGTCTGGCCCATAATAGGGTATGCAGTAAGTACTGAGGATTGAATGAATTTCATTCACATCATGCTAATTTTCCAAGTGACACCTTTGAGCTCTCATCTTTCAAGTTTGAGCATCTGCTCTTCATCCAACTGCCCTTCTAGTGAATGTATATATTCCTCTTACAAAGTTCTAGGTCCTGGAGCTCATTCTAAAGTGGGAAAATAGTTATGTAAACTATTTTGTATAATTTATATAACTATAGTTGTCTGCAGACTGGCCCTTATCTCACAGTATTTTGTAAAGTATGTTTTAGGCAGATAGAAGTGTAATGTGGTTTGTGTTATCTTCTAATAATCTTTTGAAAGTAGAATTTTGGAGTAGCTCTTATATTGCCTGAGTACGTGTAGAAAAATTCCACAGCAGCCTAGGGGTAGCAAACTGGTGGGCCTGTGAGCCAAATCCTAGCTTGCACATGTGTTTGGTTTTGCATTGTTTGTTTTAAATGAACTAGCTGCTAATATTTTTTAATTGGATATAGTCACATAAAAACCTAAACTTCCAGCTTCTCTTTAGAAATCAGAATACATGAAATCTACAATCCCTCACGGCAGCAATTGGTACCAAGGAGCCTTCTGGTTGGGGTGTGCATGTTCCACTATGGTATAGTTCCCATTATAGTTCCCTACTTCCTCAATCGCAACACAAGCCAGTTATCAATTTGCATTTATCAGTGTGCTGCCCCAGTGGTATTTTTCTTGAATTCTTTTGCTCACTGATGTTATCTCCTGGCTCTTGTAGTAGATAGGCCCCCACCATCTCAGGATAATCAAAGGCCTATATGTACCTCCCACATCTATGAATGTAGCATTGTTGTATAGGCTCCTGAGCCAGCTGAAAATCAAATTGTTTACCGTGCCCAACATCTCTCCACTAGTCAACCATAGTATAATGTGGTTTGTATTATCTTCTAATAATCTTTTGAAAGTAGAATTTTGGAGTAGCTCTTATATGGTCTGAGTATGTGTAGAAAAATTCCACAGATGGATCCTTCCTGTTCTTATACAGAGCACATGATGTAATCAGATGTTTGTACAGAGTACAAGGCACATTGTAACTCTAAGCCACCGTGGGGTTCAATATTCCACCCTAAAT